CTGACCCTGTCAAAAGCATCTCGATACTCGGTGTCACCCAGCGCCATTTCGTATCTTTCTTGAAGAGATTCGACAGCGGCCGTGACATTTCCGCATAATTTGCGCTTTACTTGTGCAAGTAGTTGGCGAGGTCAAGCCACTTGCGCAAGTCCTTTTGTTATTTCTAAAGCAGGACAGTCCACAATGGCTTTGACCTTAGCGAAATCTGCTCGAAGGCCACGCTTTCCAAAATGCACTTAAAAAGGCCACTTGCGCAAGTCCTTATGTTTTTATAACAGGCCAGTTCATCATGGCCTTGACCTTAGCGGGATCCGCTCAAAGGCCACGCTTCCGAAAAAGGCACCCTAAAAGTAGGGATTTTTCCACGCCGAAGATCCACTTATTTGCATGAGCATACAGCGTATCGTGCGCATTCGCTCAGGAACCGCTCTTAAATGGACATGTGGCTCTCTTTATACGTCCGCCCGTGCTCCTCCACACAACTGTGGACGAAAATGTTGTCGAAGTATGTCTGTGCATACGCCCGGTGGGGCCTGGACAACTGCACCACAAGACAATTAAATGTTGCTGTTGCATTTGACAGCCACTGAAGCATCACCAGCCACTCCCAGATCATGCCGCTCGAAATACTCACCGCTGTCAGCGGAATATCACTCGCTTTCATGAGCAATTGGTGATACCCATCGACCAAGTCGAGTGCAATGGACTGTGTAAATCCAACCATGTTGGTCTGGAGAACAACCTTCCTAGACACCGGCGTCTGTACCGGAGTGGTGGCAGCACTGAGCATATTGTAAGTGTGGTTGATGCTCCACTTGCCGTTCGGTTTCCGGACACAAAACGTGGGTGTTGAACTAGTAGACTTGCTTCCAGGCACCATTCCTGCGCCGTGCTTCGCACGGAAGGAGGCGTCAATGACGTCGCACTGCTCCTCGAGCAGAGGTCATTGGCGTGTTACGCAGTATTAAATTCCCGAATCCAGGTCGATTTCATGACGCACATCTCGGTCCGGAGGCAGGGTCGACGGTGGGTCTTTAGAGACGACGTCTCGGATTTTTTTCACCAAAGGATATTTTGAATCCGAGATCTTCAGGATCGAAGATTCACTTCGTGCGCTCAGTACCCTCCAGGGCAGCTTCATCGAGAAGCGGCGACAAGTTGATCTCATCTTCCGGTTGTTTAATGACCGCTTCGGCTAATGCCTCTAGCTTTAAGGCGCCACCGAACTCTTCGAAGGACATGTCGTCCAGCTCAAGAAGAAACTCCACCGCAGGTATAGCCTCGTGGATGACGTCACCGTCTTCCTCTCCCTCATACCGTAGACGAGGGTGTATAGCTGTGCACTACCGTATACGGTAAACATACTCTGGGTTATTGCCGACGCTCTGTGTCTCGTAGATATCATGAGGCTTCGCTGTCTCCTCTCCAAAATGGTCTAACGTCTCATTGAGACCTGTGGGAACACGCTCGTAGAGTCGTTTAGTGTCCCACTCCCTGCTCCATCGGAGCCTCGTCCACTCCACGCATCCGAAGGGCCTTGCTTACGAAGCCTCGGACCTCGTCCGACCATGCCACTCGTGACATACAGCGACTGCTTCGAAACGTGAGCAGTGTTCAGTGGATTTCGTGCCACTCCACGTGGATCACTGGGGCCTCGCCTTCGTTACCTCGGACCTCGTTTGACCATACTCCGATCTCCAGCACGTTGACCGTCCCGGTCCAGAGCCCACGATTTTAGTGTTTTGCCTCCTTGCAGAGGTGGGTTCATGACTCACCAAAGCTCCACTAGGAGACGTGCGCGTAGCGCCAAAGGTCTTTAACCTCCAGTCAATCCATGGCTCATGGTGTTTCAGACATGCCATACCAAGGATGAGGTCATACCTTGAATCCAAGTCTAAGTCTAAGCAGCTTCTACGCTATCAAACTCAAGAAAATTGACACCGAGGTCTACAGGCCGTCACACATGTCTCAGTCGCTAAGCGAGCAGAGACGATGTCACTCAACCGCACTTATAGCGCCTCAGTCTACAGCTGACTTTTTTCGATCGTGGAGCGTCGAGCATAGTTGCCTGACGCCCCGGAATCGACCAGGATATCCCACAGCTTCTCAAAGCCCTTCATGGTCGCTTCTACGACCAGCTAGCACGGCTTGCATACACGTTCTGTGTTCAAAAGCACGGAGCCCTTCGAAACTGGGCCCTTCTGACCTCTGCCTCCTTAACTTCAATAAAACTCACTTCTCCGCGACAAACCAGAACACTGGTAAGAAGCGGGATGTTGGTTCTATGGCGCCTTGCGCAGGGGACGAAGGTGACGGGTGTCTCCACCGATAAAACACCGTTGGGCGTTCGAACGCTGCGCAGCATCTCGGAACTCTGCCTTCTCGTCCTCAGCATAGCTGAGATCCATTGGCGCATGCCCACTCGACGAGCTGCTCCAAACCAAGTCGTGCCGACATAAAGTAGAATTCGGCATTTAATACCACACCAACTGCCCCTTCAAAAGAAGACAGATGCACACGGAAGACTTCCATTTTTGCCACGTCAGTGGGGAGACCTCCATATAGGCGGCCATGATGACCGCATCGGATGAAGGATCGGCTGCCATACCGGCAATGTGCAAAGTCCTTCTTACCCTATCGGGAAGCAAGGAAACGCGATCTACGCGATATGCCCAATTAGGCGGCGAGAACACTTGTGAAAGCTGACGCCTTAGCTCCGTTCAGGAGGGAAACGCTGCTTTGACCGAAGCACCGCACGTTAGTGCCCATTCTTGCGCTCGACCTCCGAGCTTGGAGATAGCTAGCGCCACGCGCTGTTGCTTGTTTTGAAGCAAGGCGGATGCCATAGCCATCTCGGACTCTCTCACCCAGAGCAGGAAATACCCTTCGGCTTTGCCCTCGAAGGTTTTAACCATGATCGGCTTGGGTCGGGGGGGGGGGAGTCATCCGTCGTCGACGGTGGCCTCATGGACTTAGTCAACGCCGACATCTTCTGCTCTAGTTGCTCTAGCAGAGCAAATTTATAGCTTGAATACGCCTCTTGGCGCGCGCTGATCATTTCAAATCTACAAAGCGAGGTGTTGCACACCCTCAGGGCCAAGCAGAGACATCAGTTTTTTAGGCCCGTAATGCATGTCCTGGGGCAAATAAGATAACTGCTCCATCCTCACAGAGGATCAGTCGTAAAGACTCAGTAATAGATTAACTACCAGTGCTACCAAGTGAAGCGGGGCTGCCGTAGCTCTTTCGTTTAAAAGAAGTTAGGTTAAGGTCGGTGATCTTCATTCTATACCAGTACGAGTGTAGCGGATCGCGACCAACTTATTCCAAGAGTAATTTCAACCTTAACCCAATGCCAATAAAGTCCTCCGTTAGGTTTTATTTGCGGCAAAGCCGCCTCTATCTAAATCTATTGGTTTTCCGATCTATATAGAAAAACCTCACTAAATGTATAACTTGTTTAAGTGTAGCCACACCGTGTGGTCAAACCACCTTATGTAACCCATATCATTATGTAATCACATCATCTTGTGCACCCATTATACCAGGAAACGCAGAAGATCTCAGTGTAAGCCAAAAACTTTTTAAGAGATGACGAGATTGTCTAACTTCGAAATCGAGAGTCTGTTCCCGACCCGCTCCTTTGTATACCAATTAAACATCAATTTATCAAAACAAAGGATCTTGCTTGCGACACAGGCTAGATTTGTTGCTCCTTCAAGCGCAACTAATTCATGCTCCACTCGTGTCCATTCGATGTATCAAATTCATGGAGCATTTCGCAACAAAATGACGTCCCTTATATTCAGCAAAACTTTGCTATTGCCTTGCTATCTGGAAGGTACTTGTTGGTGAATGAATCATACTTGTCAGGGCCGCGAAATGAAATCAAAAGGCTCAATACTAGTTCGAAGATCAGTAGGTAAGTGGAACGTAATAGACATTACCGATACATTTTAAAACATCCCAACTAATCACTCTCAAAGCTCATTTAAGCCAAGATGACTAACGAACTACCAGGATACGATGAATAAAAATAAATTTAGAAAGTTTACCGTCTTTTTTAATCAAAAGCAGCTTTCGTCAATCAATCACACCAGCAATCGAACAAAAAATAAACGAATAGCACTATGAGGAAATTGTTATCTGAGATCTGATCGCAACGCTACACTGCATCAAAGTTAACTTCTGACGTCTTCAGACGTCAGAATACATCAGTGGTTTGGAGAGTACGCTTAAGTAATATTGACATTTTATCTTTGCTCTATAGTTATCTCTACTCAGTAAAAAACCCACATTCGACCCATTTATATAAATTTCAAGCTCATCGACACTTACTATGCCCTCCTTTGCTCCAACAAAGGTGTAGCACATTGCCTGTTTTTTCCCGCATGTTTTACGATAACCAGAAGCTTGAGACATTTAACTAAATGCCATTCCCAAGATCAAGAGCGATGCAAACTACGATCCTAAAGAAGAGTCGCTTTTGGCGAGGATGTGAATAACAATCAGCTTTTAAACGGAGAATCGCATAATTTCATGTGAATATTGTAATTTACTTTGCTCTGCCGCATCAATCTATAAGTAACGAGAAACTTTCTGCGTGTCAGACTTTCGCCTTCAACGATTAATCGTGAGGTTTAAAGAAGAGACTTTCAACTCTGGTCTGGTATAGTCAGTACAAGTAATTCAAACTCTAAAATTGCAATAAATATATTATCTCGCTTCTATAAGTCAGGAAAAACATTACATACATACCGGTAAAAGCGTCCTCGATTAGCAAAACAAGCGGCAAAACTGGCTACTACAAGACAGGGAGACGATGGTACGGCTGAATAGAAACCTCGGGTGTAATCGAACCTTTCCACACATCCGTCGTCATTGACCACCAGCTGCGGACAGGCTCGTACAAATTCAATTCCGAGTCTCTCGTCGTTCCCAATTCGTGTAGTCACGAATTCTTACAATTCGCACGCTGTGTCACTATTGCGAGGTCCGCCATGCCAACGGACGTCATTTCCAGCGTCACGACAGGAGCGCGGTGTTATATTCCTGACAATGACGTTGCGTGGCTTCCTGTTTATGTTGAGTCTGTAGATGAAGACGCACGTCTTGTGACTGTCCGGATTCAACGGCCACGACCAGAGTGTCCAATGGATCATGACGATAGTGACCGAAGTGGCGAAGTGCGTGTTGTGGCCTTGTCAACTGGGTTTCCATTGCAAAATGCAAAACTTTCACGCCACATCCAAGGTGTTGCAAATATGATTGATTTAAATCATTTGCACGAAGCGGCTATTCTTCGTAATTTACGAAAACGCTTTCATTCCCGACTGCCGTATACGTATACAGGCGACATTTGTTTGGCCGTGAATCCGTACCAATGGCTTGATGAGCTTTATACTCCTCGATTGCATACACAGTATCTTGAGGCACGTACACGACAGGAACTTCCCCCGCATGTGTACGCAGTATCCGTTGCAGCATTTAAACATATGTGCGAACACAGTCAAAATCAGAGTATACTTGTTAGTGGTGAATCAGGTGCAGGGAAGACAGAGACGACAAAAATATTAATGGATAATCTTGCAATGATTGCATCATCATCTTCGACAACAAAAGGTGCTGATGACAGTATCACAAGTCGAATTATTCAAGTTAATCCGTTGCTTGAGAGTTTTGGCAATGCAAAAACCACACGCAATGACAATTCGAGTCGATTTGGCAAATTCACGCAACTTCAATTTGATGCAAATGCGAAACTTTGTGGCGCCCAATGTGAAACGTACTTATTGGAAAAGACACGAGTGATTAGTCATGAACGAGGTGAGCGCAATTATCATATTTTCTACCAATTACTACACGGTACGACGGAAGCTGAAAGTGATGCCATGGGATTGGGTCCGAATGGCCCAAAATTTGGCTATTTACAAGAAAAAGAGCCGCAAAATGTGAATCGACATGGACGAAAGATAAAAAGCGATGAAGTGGAGCCTGTTAAGCCTCAAGCTGTGCAAGAAGCCGAAATTGCGAAAGATCGCGCGCGATTTGCCAAGACACGCGAAGCTTTGACGTTACTTGGACTTACGCCAGAGCAACAAATTGGGCTATTTCATGTTTTATCTGGTATCTTACATTTAGGTGAAGCCCAATTTGTGACGAAAATTGAGAATGATGAAGCGTGTGACCTTGTCATGGATTCGGTGGTTTATTCAAGTTTACTGCTTGGGTTAGATCCTGAGATGATGGCCACTGCTTTAACCCATCGTACAATGAAAGCTGCGGGTGACGTGTATCGTGTCCCACTTACCGTTGACCAAGCGCTGTCAGGACGAGATGCACTCGCCAAAGCAATTTATGCCAGTATTTTTGATTGGTTGGTGGCAGGAATAAATGCAAGTTTAGGGGCTGCATGTCAAGTGACTCGTACCACAATTGGGGTTTTGGATATTTTTGGGTTTGAAAGTTTTCAGTACAATTCATTTGAACAACTTTGTATCAATTATGCAAATGAAAAGTTGCAAGAAAAATTTACTCAAGATGTTTTTCGTGCGGTGGAAGAAGAATATGAACGAGAAGAAATTACATGGGCACATATTGCATATGCTGATAATTCGGATACACTTGCATTAATTGATGGACGAATGGGTATTTTGGCTTTATTAAATGAAGAAATTGTACGACCTCGTGGAAATGAAGAAGGTTTTGTGAATAAACTTGCAAGTGCATATTTAAAACAAAAACAATTGATTGATTTTCCACGAACAAGTAAAACGCAATTTGCAATTCATCATTATGCTGGGACTGTTTTATATGAAGCCATGGGGTTTTTAGACAAACATAAAGACGCACTTTTGTCAGATCTGTCCGAATTAATGTGTCATAGTCATGAATCGTTGCCACAAATGCTTTTTAAAGCTAAAGCTGAAATGGAAGCAGCTGAAAGTAAACGTTTAAGCTCAAGTTTACGTAAAAGTGGTGGCAATGGAGCGGAGAAGACAGTTGGAATGCAATTTAAACAATCGTTAACTTCACTTATGACGACAATTAGCACTACAAATGTGAATTATATTCGATGTATTAAACCTAATAGCAGCAAAAGCTCAATAGAGTTAGAAGACAAGATGGTTGCAAATCAATTACGATGTGCTGGTGTGATTGAAGCGATTTGTATTGCTCGAGCAGGATATCCGAATCGTCTTTTACATGCTGAATTTGCCACACAATTTCAACTTTTTCTAACTGCTAATGACCAAGTGAAGTTACAGCAAGATCCAGATGCAAATAGCTCAAATTTTTTGAAATTATTACTCGAACAGTTTGATTTAGAAACACCAGAAGAATATCAAATGGGACGTACTCGCATTTATCTTCAAAAAGGAGTATTAGAAAAGCTTGAGCGTGTAAAAGCAAAGAGATTATTTGCATATGTAGCCATGATCCAAGCTCAATGGCGTGGGAAATTAGCACGGTGTCAGTATCATTGGATGAAAGCTGCTTTGCTTACACTTCAGCGACGAGCTAAAGTGTTTGTCATTCGTACTCGTTTTCTTTGTATAAAAGCTGCACTTGCTTTGATCCAACGGGTATGGCGGGGTTACATTGGTCGTTGTATCTTTCATTCGATCTTGCGTGACCACTGTTGTCTAACACTCCAGCGTGTGTGGCGGGGATATACTGGACGTAAAACGTTTCTTTTTGTGCTGCGTTCCAAACGTGCCGTTCAGATCCAAAGGATGTGGCGTGGTCACAAAGGACGACAGATTGTTGCAGCTGTGATACGACAGATTCGTGCAGTGCAGCTGCAATGCTGGGGACGACAATATTTAGCGCGACAGGAACTTCATCGACGTCGTGTTGCGCATGATGAGAAGCTTAAGATTGAGGCACAAGAACGTCTTGCACGGGAATTGGCGAGATTAGAAGAAGAACGTCGACGTGAAGAGGAAGAACGGAGACAAGCTGTACGACTAGCAAGTGCCGTGGTTATTCAAACGTACGTACGAGGATACTTTGCTCGATGTGTCTTTGCCGACATGTTACATCAAGCTGAAGAAGATAGACGTCGCCGACGTGAAGAAGAAGAAGAGCGTGAACGTATTCGTTTGCAGCGTGAACACGACGAGCGTGAAGCGCAACGTCGTATTGCAGAAGAAACCGCGCGAGAAAAGAAACGGGTGGATGACGAGCGCAAACAGAAGGCGATTGCCATGCGTGTGCGACGGGAAAAGGCCATTATAGTCATTCAGCGGGTCGTTCGAGGACATTTGACGAGAAAACACGTACGAAAGATGCAACGTGCAGTGATAAGTGTGCAGCGAGTATTACGTGGATATTTAGCGAGAAAACAAGTGGCAAGAATGGAGGAAGAGATAAGACAGAAGGAACTAGAAGCGGAGGAAGCTGCTGCTTTGCGACTTCAGAGCTTGCAACGTGGCCGATTGGCGCGTCAGGAATTTTCCAGGTTTAAATTGGAGATCAAGCGTGAAAAGGAGCAAGCGATGCGAATTCGTACAGTCAAGAAAGATGACGTGAATCTTGCTCGTATAGTCAAAAAGAATGACGTGATTCGTACTGGTACAGTCGAGAAGGATGATCGGACTCGATCTCGTGCCATCGTCAGCAAGACAGAGAAGGATGAAGAGCTTGCACGGGTTTTAGAAGAGAACACTCAACTTAAAAAGCAGTTGGCGGAGCTGCAGAAAAAAAATCGAGAGCTTGAGGCTGTTGTGGCCGAATGTCGTTGTGATCGTGATGTGGTCAAAGCTTCTACGAATCTTAAACGAGTTGAGCTCACACATCGATTAAAAGCGAAACATTCCGAGCTTGACCGAACTCGTGGAGAGTATTCAGCGTTGCGCGACTTTCTTGAAAAATCTGGCAGTTCACGTCGGTCGACAGAGCCCGAAGAGTTAAATTCATCGGATAATTCATCAGATAGTTCGTCAAACTATGGTGATGAAGAGAATAATAATTGGAAAGAAGATCGACCGACTGTGAATTCGCTATCTGCGTCGTATTATGGTGGTGACCGTCCATCAAAAGATATTGCCAAGTTACTAAGCAGTAGTCAAACGCGACTTGCAAATGCTGTGCATCATCGTCGACAACAAGCGAGTCATGTGGTTCAACAACGAAAACAACAAGCGACGAATGCAATGCATCATCGATTAGAACTGAATGCTCAACGAAGGGATCATCGAGAAGATTTTACGAGGTCAATGCCGATAGTTTCGAGGACGAAAAAATGGGCAACATTTTCGAGGCATAAGAGTGGAAAAGGACCCTCAGTGATGTCTCCGGTTGGTTATGGGGAGTAAGGAACGTTGAAGTAGTGTGTTGGAATTTATAGAGCTGGATTAGTTGTGGTGTTTGTATCTAAAGACAAGAGAGGGGGTTTATTTTTGCAATATAGTATAAGTTCTACTGACTCTTTTTAAATCCGTCACAAAAACGAGGTTTACAAGAAGACGATATCTGAGAAATGTCAGTAACAAAAATGAGAAAAACACAATTAGTCCGAGTAACCCTATAACTTTTGCTACATCGTACATGTAACGGACTCAGATCATGGCGTGCGTCAGCACAGGTGGGATACACTTTAATAAATACAAACGTAAAGATAAACAAAACGGTGTGAGTGCCACCTCGCGTTCAGAGCCTACCAGTTGCTCTTGTATCTACCCAAGGCCTCAAGTTATCGCATAATTCTTTATTCCACCTCCATTCTTAATAATGCTTCGCTTCCGACAAATTGCCACTTTGAGACTTAAATCTACTCAAAACGACGTCAACCTGCAGCGGCAACTTAAGCATTGTAGTATTAATGCTTTAAAATGCACCTATCAGACGCAAGCTTACCACGTTCCAAAACCGAGTACAAAACGTCCATTAACTCTGGCCTTTGCAGGCGTCGCAGCGCTTAGCGTTGGCCTTGAAGACCAGAGCGAAGGAGCGACACAAGTTCGCGCAGCTTTCGAGCATCAACCGATTCAAAAGTGGCAACTTTTTGACCAAATTGGCGCCGGTGCTTATGGCGTCGTACGGCTTGGCATGCACGAGACTTCAGGTGAAGTTGCAGCTGTCAAGATTGTATCACTTGAAAATCCGGATTATAAACGTTCGTACCCATCACTGGAGCGCGAGATTGGAGCGCTTAGACTCGTAAAGGCACTGGGAGGGCACGATAGCATCATTGATCTACGTGACGTGTACGTTGAAGGTAGAAAACTCTTTCTAGTCACTGAGCTTGTCCGTGGCGGGGAGCTCTTTGAACAAATTGTCGCCTTCGGATCGTTTTCAGAGATCAAAGCAAGGGAGGTTGCACGTGAGATAGCAAGTGCACTATCGTTTCTGCATCGGCACGGACTCGTGCATAAAGACGTGAAACCTGAGAACATTCTCTTGACTGGACAAGTGGTGGACTCTCATAGTAATGAGGTGTTCTATTCGTCTCGTCCCGATAAAAATTCTTGTCTTGTGAAACTTGCGGACTTTGGTAGTGCAGGACCAGCAGATACTTCAGTTAATTTAGATGACGTTGGTACGGCCGCGTATTTGCCGCCTGAGCTGCTGACGTCTGGCGTCTGCACTAGCGCGTGTGATATGTGGGCGCTAGGCTGTGTGCTGTACATTACATTGTGTGGATCACATCCATTTGATTTGGACGGTTTATCTTCGGACAGTGTCGTGGAGCACCGTGTCAAGACTGAAGCAATCAACTTTGACTTTGGTCCGTGGGAGAATTTATCATTTGAAGCAAAGGACTTGATTTCGAAGCTTTTGGTGAAAGACCCGGCGCTGCGTCTTACAGCAGACCAAGTGCTTCAGCACCCATGGATTATTGCGAGCACTGAAGCTACTTCTATCAGTTGCTTGCCTAATTCCTTACCGATTGTAGCGGGTCAGCCAATTCCAGTGAATTCTGTCTAAATATTTGAGTACATCCAATTGTACCATTAAGAAAGCTACTTCGTACAATAACTAAAGAATTTCTCAATAGAGTATATAAAATTGATTCACTGAATATCAATAGACTTGAGTAGAATGTGAGGAGACAAACCAGGGCAATGAGCCGATGAAAGCGCGGTGCAAAAAGCCCAACTATATCATCTCTCTAGGATTCATTATTGCATTATTTAAATGACCACCCCGCACACATATACGTTTAAACAACGTTTCACGAGGTGGAGATACCAAATGCTATTGTGCACACGTCAAAAGATGAAATGGGGCCATCCACCATTAAATATGTGCTTTCACATTTTCAGAAAAATAAACCTCGATCATCAAATCCAACAGGTTTCTAATTTGAATGGTTATGCTGGCATGGGATAACCATGTGATCTAATACATAACATTTGACATTTCCCGGTTTATAAAAGAAGAGCAAGTATGGGTCGTGTTATCCGTGGTCAGCGTAAGGGTGCTGGTTCCATCTTTAAGTCCCACACACACTTACGTAAGGGCCCAGCTGCGTTCCGTGCCCTTGACTTTGTTGAGCGCACTGGATACATTAAGGGTGTCGTTAAGGAGATCGTGCATGACTCTGGCCGTGGCGCTCCTTTGGCCAGGGTGACGTACCGTGACCCGTACCGTTATCAGCTCAGACACGAGCTGCTTATCGCTGCTGAGGGCATGTACACGGGTATGTTTATTTACTCGGGCCCTAAAGCTGCCCTTACGGTTGGCAACACACTACCTCTCTCGGCTTTGCCGGAAGGTACGATCGTATGCAACGTCGAGGCCAAGATCGGTGACCGCGGTTCGTTTGCTCGCGCTTCGGGCGATTACGCTGTCATTGTGACCCACGATGAGGACAAGGGAAAGACCAAATTGCGTCTGCCCTCTGGTTCGAAAAAGACTGTTCCTTCGGCGTAAGTTGCTACTCCGTTATTGCTCTGCCGAGACAAATGATGCGAGATTTCTACATTTGGTCATCTCGATGCACGGCGGCGTCACTCTCTTCTATCCCCTGAGTGAGATGACGCTCGCGCCGCGTTCATGATTGCGATCATGAGCGTGTGTGTGTGCTAGTCAGATATTCCCGCTTTGTGCGGTGAGTAAGTATCCTTGGGTACTTCATTACGAAGTATTCATGTCCTGGGTGCTAAATGGAATTTGTCTTCGCGATTTTTAGGGGAAAGGAGTAGATACTTAACTGACTTGTATGACTTGTTCCGTATGACATACAGATGCCGTGCTATGATTGGTGTGGTCGCTGGTGGAGGTCGTACTGATAAGCCAATTCTTAAAGCTGGACGTGCTTTCCACAAATACCGCGTCAAGCGTAACGAGTGGCCGAAGGTGCGTGGTGTTGCTATGAACCCCGTGGAACATCCGCACGGTGGTGGTAACCACCAGCACATTGGTCATCCGTCAACTGTGCGTCGTGATGCCCCTGCTGGTAAGAAGGTTGGTCTTATTGCTGCTCGTCGTACGGGTCGTCTCCGCGGTATTAAGAAGGTGGAGAAGGACAACTAAGATGTCTGTTACCTTTTATTCGCATAACGGGAATGACATAATATACTTTGTTCAGTCAATTTGGATATTAAACCATTAGTTACTGCATTATTCGGTCAGCTTTACGCCTTTCAGTCGCTTCTCTTTCTATGCGTTCAATCCTTAGCTTCTGGAGTAATGATTCCTTACTCCCTATGCTGTTAGCAGTGCTTTTGTTATTACATAATACCTTCGAATGCTTCCGAGATTTACTATGACGTCGTTCTGATGATAAACGGTCATATCGGCTTGTATACTTTCGAAGATCACTTCCATCATCAGAGTTGAACTGTCTGCTTCGTCGTTCTTTCGTTTTTACCGTCACGCGCTCCTTAGGACGCATATGGTGTAATGGATCAGCCTCATCCAGTTCCCTGTATCTCGTCGTAACGTCAGCTCATCCACTATTCCAGAAGAAACTTAAGGCCATACCGTTTCCTTTTGCGCTCATGTTGTGCTGTTGGCTGCTCCTTCGCTGCATTTTCACTTTGTGCATACCAAGGTAATCTTCCGTGCCGCCTCAGCGTGTCATCTACCCCCTTATGCTTCTTACTATCAAAAGTATTGCCCTTTTGACCCTTCGCTTGTGCTTCCTCTGCCTGAAAAAAGTTAATATGCTGCTTCAAATCAGAGCCATCGACCACCTGAAGCTGCTGAGCGCGTCGCTCCTGCGCCAGTCGTCGTTCTTTCGCATTAATCGCCTGTTGCTTTTCCTCATTCTCCCGCTCATCTCGTAGCACACGCTCAATATTATCGCGCCGCCACACATGCCATTTCTTGTGTGGTAGAATACGCAACCCACCGCCGCCCATGATAAGAATATACTTCAATAATCACTAAGACTTTATTATTCTTTATCCACCCGCTTTTAACAGCAAATATTTACGTATTAGGAGTACCAAGACAGCGAAATTAATATTTTTTTTTCAAGACGAGTTCAGACTGTCTGCAATAGCTTGAATCCAGAATGCAACAGCCTTGGCTCCAGGGTCAGGAATTCCAACACCAAACTCCTCACCAACATACCCAGCACGACCGAACGCTTGCTTTGTCGAGATCTGAGCTGTAGCATCAGCTCCTTCTTGTGCAGCCAATGCTGCAATTTTAGCCAACTCAGCACCAGTTTGAAGTGTCGAACAATCAAGAGCTCTCAATGATGGAACGAGAGCGTCAATCATAGTGCGCGAGCCTTCTTTTGCGCCTCCATACTTCTGCACAGCAAAAACACCAGCGCGAAAGGCTCCAGACCATGCAGTAATGTCTATTTTCTTGCAGGACTCAAGATAAACTGATCCAGCAGTGAGAAAAATAACGTACAAAACGCCAGAAGTACCACCAGCACTACGACTTACTGAATTAGCAAGCGCACGAAGCGTTTGTGCAGCATCATTTAGCGGATAAAAGGTCTTCAATTCTGCTCTAATAGTTTCAGCAGCATTCTTGAATGTGGTGCCACAATCTCCATCACCAACTTTAGTATCCCAATGCGTCAATTGTGATTCGTTCTCGATCAAAGTCGTACAGACAGCAGCAATGCACTTCTCAAGACGTGAACCTTCGCTTGACAGAACAGTTGGGCGATTAAATTTCTTTTGAGTCTCAGTAGCTTTTACAGAGATCAGGGAATCAGTAACTTCCGAGATTGACTTTTTAAACAGCGAGTTTGTCCATGCTGGCGCCGAGGTGGGTGCATCAAACAGCGCAAGCATTTCAGCATCACCATTCGAATTCCAGAGCGAAATCGAAAAGCCAGTCATGTCTAAAGCTGTCATAAAGGGTCCAACTATTGCTCTTTCGATCTCAATCTTCTTGGCTTGAAGCGCCTTTACTGCGTACTTGGCCACAACATAGAGCTCCATACTCGTTAAAGTACCCAAATTATTGACCATGAGTACAGCTTTACTTCCAGACTGCAGTCCCAGTCCCACCGCCGAGTGCTCGGTAATCTTGTCGATTAACATTCGGCAGAGTGAAGGAACATCTTGTTGTTCACACTTGTTCACCCCCGGTTCTCCATGAATACCCAGTCCAACTTCCATATAATTATCTTCCCACTCCCTGGAAGCATCCTTTTGACCTGGCAAAGTGCAGGGTTTAATAGCTACCCCCATAGTACCCAATTTTCGCTCACCAATCAAAGTATTGACCATCTTTACAAGGGTCACTAAATCCTTTCCCATATGTGCGGCGGCACCAGCCAATTTATGTATAATCACGGTGCCACTAAGTCCACGGCGTCCAGCGTTGGCATTAAGTACGGCCACGTCTTCTCCGACCACAACCATGTCACACTTAAAGCCTTCGGCTTTGGCCTGCTCAACTGCCAAGCCGAAGTTTAAACGGTCTCCTGTGTAATTCTTCACTATAACTAAGCATCCGTGCGGGCCTGCAGCCAATCGAATAGCCGCTAAAATCTGCTGCGTTGAAGGTGAGGCAAAGACATCACCACAAACTACACCAGTTAGCATCCCTTCGCCGATATATCCCGCATGTGTTGGCTCATGGCCACTACCACCGCCAGAGATAAGCGTCACTTGATGCTCGCGTATATTTTCATAGTCACGATGCAGCAGCACACGCTCGGTTGGCATGAGCACTAGATGTGGATGTAAGAATACCATACCTTCTAACATGTCGGCCACAATATTTTGGCTGTCTAGCACAAGCTGCTTCGCTCTAGCCATTGTGGTGTATGCTGCATAAAAGATATATAATGAATATTTGCTTCATAATCTTTATTTTTACTTATAAACGACTAGTAGATGGTCTTGTCGTAACTGCACGTCTTGAGAATGTCGCCGCCAATATCTGCTGGTAGTGCATAGACGCACTCAGTCGTGACGGTCGGCGATACATTGCAACTGTTCCCGACGTATGAATTTGCTCGCTTTGTAATAACCCCGTTGCTGGATGATGACTGGACACGTACCGTCATCTTGTAATTGCCATAACTCGCTTTTCTTGCCATACAAAAATAAGGAGAGAAGGCATTGACACTGTCAGTGCTCCGACCACTAATAGCAGCAGCTCGACTGAGTGGATACCGACCAACAGCAAGCACATAAGTGCCTTTGTTGAGTTGCCGAATCAGGTACGAGTCTGACGCCGACACTGATCCATCAGTACGTCCACGGCTAAAATAAGCTGGATTATCATCACCAGCATCGTCGTTGCTTGCTATAAACGATAGTGAACCGCTACTAAGTTGCTGAAACAAATAGACTTGAGGATCGATGTAGGCCGAGTCGCAATCGGAATTAACATCTAGGAATGTCACGTTGTTTGTTGTCTCCATCGAAAGCAAGTCAACTTCTAAAATCGCTGATGATGCAGCTATATTCACCGTGTATTGATCAACCGTCAAATAGTTTGACTTGCGGAAAATAGTGCCAGTGACAACTTCCTTTACTACTGGAAGAGCAGGTTCAACACTTATCCACCACAACACCGCTTGCATCACTAAAATTTGCAAAATTGTAGAGACGCTCATCCTTAACTTATCAGCTACCGAGATACTTAATGAATGGGTGCAGGAGAATGAATCTCAATGCATACGCGACGCTACATGGAGAACAAGATAAGATACCTACCTACAACTAAGCAGTTATCCACCATCTCATTTTGTCCGTTATACGGGATTCATCGAAATGCATTTCAAGTTAAATGTATTTACATGATTGAAACAGCTTACACCAGTCACTCCTAGTTGCCAAGAAGGTCATAGTCGTCCAATTTGTCGTTGTACTTCATGATAGTTCGCTTGATCTTGGAGCTGTCAACCCACGTAACAAAGTCCTCCATTGAACGAGTGACTAAAAACGCTGCATCTGTGACGACTGTGGGGCCCACACGAACGTGACCTTGCTCTACAAACGTCGTGGCTTCTTTAATACTTTCGGCCATTTTAACACGCACCATGACAACAGGCAGACGGCGGCGACAAAACGAGGAAACATTGACTTCTTCAGCTTTGATCAAACTTTTCTTTGTTTGAATTAGTCCCATGTTAAACAGCTTGTCCAGAAGTGCCGTAGTGGTCTTAACGCGAAATGGGTCATTTGCTGGGCGCTTTTTAAGCCTCGCAACGACTTTAGAAATGTGACCCACTAATCGATTATACTTATGGTATTGCTCACGATCTGGAATACGATAGCGACGGATGACCTTAATTTCATGCAAGTTGTGCTCTTTTTTCCATTCCAGCAGATCAACCTTCTTTAGCAGCTTCTGCTCATGGAACTTTAGTGGTCGACCCATTCCTCAAACCTGTTAAGAAATGTGAATTAGGTGTGTGTATGACATCGTTTAGCGTACACCACATCATGCTTCCTAGACCAACGAATTGTAGCTACTTAAATATTATATAGAACGTGTGCCATTTTTAATTGGTATCACGATAATGACGGCCGTGGATGTGGACAAGAAGAGCAAAAAGAAAAAGCTTAAAGCCCCTGAAGCCGAGGAAAAGGACCTTATCGCACCAGAAAGTTACACACCTGCTTTAGACACGAGCAAGTGGCCGTTATTGCTTAAGAATTACAATCAGCTTAACGTACGAACTGGACACTACACACCCATCCCCTGTAGCTCGTCGCCCTTGAAGCGTAATCTCCACGACTATGTGCGCTATGGTGTCATCAATCTAGACAAACCTGCCAATCCCTCATCTCACGAGGTTGTGGCTTGGATTCGTCGCATATTGCGGGTAGACAAGACTGGTCACTCGGGTACTCTCGATCCTAAGGTTACAGGCTGCCTCATTGTATGCGTCGACCGCGCCACGCGTCTAGTGAAGGCTCAGCAAGGTGCTGGTAAGGAATATGTAGCAGTCGTACGCTTACACAGTGCCATCGAAAGCCAGATGAAGCTTGCACGCGCTATTGAGACGCTGACAGGCGCGCTGTTTCAGCGTCCACCGCTAATTTCTGCAGTGAAGCGCCAGCTTCGTATTCGTACGATATACGAGTCGAAACTCATCGAGTACGATGAAGATCGTCACCTTGGTGTTTTTCACGTGAGTTGTGAAGCTGGTACTTATATTCGAACGTTGTGTGTGCATTTGGGCTTGGTTCTTGGTGTGGGTGGACATATGCAAGAGCTACGACGCGTACGCTCGGGTGTTCTTGGTGAGAACGATTCCATGGTGACAATGCATGATGTTTTGGACGCACAGTTCCAATACGACACATATAAAGACGAGTCATATCTCCGTCGTATTGTGCGGCCACTTGAAGTGCTGCTGACCACATACAAGCGCATTGTTGTGAAGGATAGCTCGGTGAATGCTATTTGTTATGGAGCCAAATTTATGGTTCCTGGTCTCTTGCGGTTTGCTGACGACATTGACGTCGGTGAAGAAGTCGTTTTGATGACGACAAAGGGTGAAGCGATTGCTGTTGCCATTGCTCAAATGACGACAGCTGTGATGGCGACTTGTGATCATGGAGTTGTGGCCAAGATTAAGCGTGTCATTATGGAGAGAGACACATATCCACGTCGATGGGGCTTGGGGCCAATGGCGCAAAAGGTGAAAGGACTCGTGAAAGAGGGAAAAATTGGCAAGTATGGAAAAGTTAACGAGAATACGCCGACGGAAGTTTCGGATTTGTATAGCAAGGATGACAAACAAACTCTTATCACGGAAGTGAAAGAAGAGGTGAATGAGGAAGAACCCACAAAAAAGAAGCTCAAGAAGGAGAAAAAGGAAAAAAAGGAAAAAAAGGCAAAGAAGAAGTCCAAGCGGGATCTCGAAGATGCTGAAGTTGCGCAGACCGGACAATCTCCAGAAAAGAAGAAATCTAAGAAGAAAAAAAAATCGAAGGAGACGAGCAATTCAGATTAGACAGCAAATCTCTTGTGTTTTAGCTCCAAGTTCAAATTAATCGTATATATTCCGTTTGATCTGTTAGAAATAGGTTGTTTTCTAGTTCATTTCTCGTCTGCTTCCTTGCTGATAACGTTTTGGCTCATTTGCTCAGAGCTTGGTTTTGCACTCTTTTCAACGAGGAGGTTCGCACAAGGAAAGCAGTTCCGTGAAACATACATCATTACTTATCAAATGTATCTCTAGATTTTGCACAAACGCCTTTGGCATGTTAAAAATTTTCTTTACCTCGTTGAATGCATTTAGCGGTGGAAACAGAACTTCCTGGCTTTGTCAATGTCGTTTGGCAAAAATGTCCTTAGAAAACCCTTTGTCGTCTGCTTAGATTATTAGACGTAAATATTGTGACAGAAATTAACCATGCGACAGCATCTACACCAATGTCGTACAAGGTCCAAAAGCTGGTTTCTGCCGATTCAAGGCTATGCTTTTCAGCAAGGAACGAAAGGTGATGGCACATTTTTGAACGGCGCTGGAAAACACAAGTTTTTCTTGTTGAAGACATTACCTCCGTAGCAAACTTGTGGTTCGATAAAAAAGATTAGAGTAAGTAAGCGAACGTCTGTTTTGCTTGACTCGCTAAATCTGTCACAAACTCGGTAATCTTGCAAAATGCTCTGATTCAACCTCGCTAAAATCGCACTCAATTTGTGTTCGGAGCAAGAATTGAAGCGAAGCTCGTCATTCAGCATTGTGAAACTCATACCTAGCCCATCATCTGAAAAGATAAAGTAGCTAGGTAGCACTTACTGGTGACCACAGCCGTTCCTGTGCCCTTGTCGACAGACAATTTGACGTGTTCACTATCTCGTCCATTCACTCGAGAAATCTTGCTCGACAAATTTCTTGTTGTCGATTATGCATCGTCTTCGGCCTGTTCACTCACCTTTCGTGTCATAGGCCAGAGTAAGATGCATCCTTTGATCCCAAACATTTCTCAATTATGCTTTATGTGTGCACTTTATGGCTGACAGGACATTAATTAGTAGAATCTAATGTTAACGAGGAGAGTATCGGAGACAACGATTCATCCTTCTTACGGACACCTAGTTTCTTCCTCAAAGTATCATCAAAATCAGAGACGAAGGTAGTACTAGATTTTTGTGACAGTGAAGTCTCACTATCTTGATCTTCCATACACTTTCGAAAAAATAATTCGTTTTCATGTTTAGTCTTGTCATCGGTCGGACAAACTTCAATCTCATTGCTATTAAGCTCGAATGCATGCTTTACCACAACGTCGTTCATTTGTCTCGATTTAAAATGCACGAGTTGTCTTTCAAGAAGATCCGAATGTGCTCGTTCTTGCTGCAGCTGGCTCTTCACACATTGAAGCTCTGCATTCGCTTTAATAGCAGCAAGTTTGTGAGCTGGTAGTTTCTGAGCAATGCAAATACGAGCCGATTTTAACTGTTCTTGACATTTTTTAAGTAAGTGGCGCAGCTCTAAATTCTCTTCTCGAAGCTCTTCGATTTGAACATCAAGAGTGAAAAGATTTGAAGACTCAGCGTGTCGTGCTTTACCTCTCTCACTGCTGTTGGCAAGACTTTGAAGCTGTTGTTGGTCGTAAATGTCTTTGACCTCTTTTTTCAGCGACTTTGCCAGCGTTCGCAATGCTTCCACTTCTTCTTCTTGTCTTTGATAATTTAACAGGACTCGTTCCAGTTGGTTACGAAGCCGTTGACATTCGGCTATATAATCGAACGTGTCATCATTGTCACTACTAGCTCGTGATACTAAATCCATATTCTGTTTCCTTTGAATGGACAATAACGAATCTTGTTTATGAAGCAACTTCTTTGCTTGACTTTTGTTGGAAAGATCTCGTCGCGTAGATGATGTCCCGATTCGACATCGTCGAGATTCTTCAATATTAGTTTTTGGAAAAGAACGTCGCTTCATCGTGGTTTGAAAAAGATCGTACTGTTTTGTTGGAGCGTATATATAGCCAGCAAATAACTTTTGCACCAAGAATTCGCTGTCTTGCTACGAGAAGAAGCGTCGTGTAAAAGTATATTAATGCACTTCCGATCGGGAGCTGCCGGAATTCATTGAGAATTTATCATGAATGTCATTTAATATCCTCATCGCTATAGTTCTTAGCTTACTCGCTATTCAGCGATAGCCATCTGCATTAATAATTTCGTGAGAGCTGAATAAAGTTATTTTCCTAGTATTGTTCTTAGATACATTGTGCTACGTCAAATTTGATGTTGGAATACTACATTGCGGCCGAGTGTTGTCTTGTTAACAACCGTCGAGCAGTTCGTATATTGAATAAAGCGTACGTTTGAGCTAACGTTACCTAAGAAATTGGCACCTTGTTAATTTTCAGAGAGGTGAAGTAGCAGCAATTTACGACGAGTAATTCGTTGTTGCTCCTTTCTCTTTCAAGAGGTGAACGACTTCTAAAATCGTTTTGCGATAAGCTTCTTGCTCCAGCAGAATGCCACTAATGTGCCCCGTTTTGATAGCTCGAAAATGTGCTCGTCTCCATCGCTCGCGCATGCGCTAAAACATGATGTTGAAAAGTGTTCGTGCGTATACTTATTTAAGCAAACTTACCTGCCACTGAGGCTCTGTGAAGCCAATGTATTCGTCTTCCGATCCGTATACAAAGACTACAGCATCTGAACGTCTTGGAGGTCTAAAATTATCGATGTCCGTGATCGAGAGGAATAGCCTCATTCGTTTTTTGGCTTCCTGAACCGGATCCAGCTTTGCATCAATTACCGCATCTCGCTCTTTTTCGATGGTTGAGCCAGAAGTAACTAGTCTTACATAGGACTCGACAACAGAATGTCCGGTTAGCATTTTATCGAGCAACTGTAGTTCGTGTTGCTTGTACAACGAGCGCCAATTGCAAGATCCAGATAGTAGCCCATCTGCAAACACAGGTACAGCTGATGGTGGAGCCAACCAAGCGGTGGCTCCTACGTCTCCAGGAAAGACTGATGCAACCATCGCAGCATGCAATCCACCCATACTATTACCCGCGACTACTAATTGCGAAAACCCGTGATAGTCACGAAAGTATGCCAATAATGACTTAGCTTCTTCGATTGTTGCTTGACCGAGAATTGGTAAATCACTGACCCTTCAACAACCACACTGCTTAGTATCCATGTTAACAAATCATGTGTCTCTAGAACGTACTTGCGTAACTTTGACCCTTTTTGATCGCAAGGTTTGCGCTTTCCATAGTAAGGGCCTTCCAGAATCTTCATTTCAAAGCGTCATAAGCTGTCGAATAGACTTATTACGTATGAATACGTTCGTACCAAACATGCAATCCCGTGTCTTGCCAGCGGAATGGCAACGGACGTCCTTCGATGTAGAAACCCATGCTCTCCCGTTCCTGGTAGTAACACTATAGTCGAAATAAATATTACTCTTGCCTTTTGAGGTTATCCATCAATCAACGTACCCACTAAAGGTCGATCACGTCCTCCTTGTGGAATGCTTTCATCCTGTATCCACTCTAGTGGCGTGACCAATTCACACAATGCATCTTGACTTTCCACAGGTAGCAATTGCTTTGCATCCTCCAATGTGCTTCGAAACTTGCCTTCTCTTATAGAAACTTTAGCATTCAACAGCTTTTTAACTTTACCCCACGCTAGTTCGCCATCTTTTAGCATTACAACGTCACTCATGCGTCGAGTCTGTAAAAGCTCACGTATTCGTTGAAACGTGTTTAAATCGCCCCATCCATCTGAGAAAAATCCATTGGGAAACAACACAGGATTTTGTGTAATTGAAGCCGCGATACGGTCTAGATAGCGATGATGGGAGACCGTTACGCCATCTAAAAGGCGACTTGGTGATCGCAATAATGCAGCTAAAAGTCCCCATGGATGCATTACAAATGGCGCTGGAGCCTGAAGCTGCAGAAGCCACCGCCAGGTACTTAAATAGTGTAAATGAGGAACGCGCATCAGTAAGAGGAGCAAATGCACGGAGAGAAGACGCGACTCTTAGTCTTATAGCAGGTATCTGTACTACAACTTCAAATGAGGACCCGATATCCGACTTTACATCCGACAATATTATTTCGCATATATTAGTCAAAATATTGCTGACCTACGAAAGCTGATAACCTCATCATTAAGAGATGTGGGTGACACAATCTGGAGGGCAACTGTAATTACTGATTTTCTTGTTATGATGTGACGATTCTTCTGAGTTCGCACTACCGTGCGATGGGCCCTCCATTTCACGGGTAAGTTAAGAGAAAGATTAATCACCCGTAATGGAGTGAATCGGGCTTGAGTGTATGCGCTCAAAAAAGCTATGCGCCAAGATAAACATGTATGCATTGAATGCCGACAATATTTCCTTTCTTGGTTGCTTAACTGCGAATTAGGGCTTGTGGGTAGGCTCGCGAATATGAAGGTCATTGTCGATGGCTTGTCAGTGGCTTGGCTATCCAACTGCTTGCAGAGGCACAATAAAATTATGCCGAAACGTCACGCCGTCTTGCCAGTCTCATTCAAACGGATGGTAAATATTATCGAAGTGAGGCGGAATGGGCGACTCTCAAGGCTGGTCTAAGAGTGCATTGATTATTGCTCTACCGGCTCCATAACGGCCATTTCATGTCGTCTGTGACGCTTTTAGCCCATAAAGTGAGCTGCCCTTTACTCTCAACTGATGTCAATGGGCACGATCGCGTTTGTAGATCTCGACAGCTTGAAGCTGCTGTGAAATCAACCCTGTTCATGACAAAGAGCGTTTTAAAATAAGTATACAGTCGTCACGATCATGGTGCATCTGCTGGGCTCCGATATCTTTGTTATTTACACTCGTTGCGTACACCGACGTCATCATTACATCGCTCACAGAAAAGAGTAAGATCATTATCGTTTGCCGAGTATACCTTTAAGAGTAGGTATAAGCCGGGTCAGCTTGGTGTGTGTTGCGTTTAGCACCGTCCCGACTATTAATTACCGATGTCACAATATTGATGTGAACAATTGGAGAAGCAAAACGTGCTGTGCACGGGTCGGACTCAGCATATGTTGCGCTGCTAAAGCTTCGAATAGCACTAAGTTTTAGATGTCGCTTCCACGAAGAAAATCTGTTTACGCCTGCGCCGACATGCCTTATCCCAAGGCTTGTTGTATTGCATCACTGACCTACATGACATTTAGCTTGCAGTGGTGTCGCACGATAAAAAAAATTCATTACAATTACTGTTTGAGGTACAAGGTACTGTTTGGAAGTGGCTAGTATGAAAAGCTGCATACTGCAAGATGGTCTCTATAACGGAGTTGCCCGTACCCTAGTATGAAAGGGCGGGTCACGCAAGATGGTGTGACCGTACATAGTTGTGGACTACACAAGTTGGTGTAATCATATAATAGTGTGGCTACACCGTAACAAGGAGCCACTACGTGGCAGGACTGTCAGTAGTAATGCATATTAATTAGGTCTTTCTATTTTATAAGGAAAACCTAAGGTTTTTACTTTAGGCGGCTCTGCTGCAAATAAAAAATAAATACAGTTTTAACTTTTGAACGGAAGAGCGTTTTTGCCTTGATTGAAATTTTTAAGTACTCTGGAGTGTAGCAGATTGCGATCCGCTACACTCGAGCTGGTTTCTTATAGAACGTAAGGTCGGTAAACCGTATCTTAGCTTCCTGTAAGCAACGCGCTTCGACAGCCCCGCTGCAGGTTCTATGTATAAGTGGGTAAGGGCATTGTGCGCATATGTATAACGTGCCAGAAGCTTCTTCCGTCCTGCATGCAGTGTCTCCTTTGACCATTCTTCAACCCCAACACAGTTCAACTAGTCCACAAATATGGACTTGATGCTCAGTCTTCCAGATGACGCGTCCGATAATACCAGTGAAATTTGTGGACCTTCTGAGCAAGGTGATTCATCGTGCTGCAGTCATCGATAGTATCACCGCTGAAATTACAGCTAAGATTATCCTCGACAAGGATTTCACCTACATGTAATGGGCTACACTTAGCCATTACATGAATGTAATGCACCTTCTGTATGTATTGTAGAGATTTATAAAAGAAGATTACAGTATGGTGTTTCCAAATACATACATAATCTCTTATATGAAATCACAAACATTATGTGTGAGACAGAATGATGGTTCCAACAAGGGGATTAGTACTGGTGACGAGACCGACGTGTCTCTGTCTTTAGAAGTCCCTTCTACCGGATAGGCTCCACGAAAGTTGATGCTTAAGCTTTTAAAGTTCAAGCTCCGTACTCCCGATATCTTTATTAGTTTAAGATGAGGTTCAACCTCAGTACATCCTTGATATCTAAATCAGGAGCCCAAGGTTTTATTAGTTAAAAATTTCTGGGGGGAATTGGGATGATGAATGTAGCTAGAAAACATTACTCATTTGAATTCAGCTGCAAATTTATCTTGTAAGGTATGAAGTCGTTCTTATTCCCCCAAGTCGGGACTGTCCACACTTGTCGACATGAAGGACGGCTGTTTTTAGCTCACACACGCGAGTACTGCTACCAAGTGTTTGATAGGCTTCACATCCAAATTTCCGTGGTCTGGCCTAAATAACCACGTCAACAGTCAACCCCGCTAGTGCGTGTAGCTATCAGCAGCCACTTCCAGAGCAACCTGCTCGGAGTTATCACCGCATCAAAAAGGCCAGTGCTGTTTTTAGCAAGCAGTTGATATCAACCATCAAAAAGGCATAGAACTCAGAGCACGACGCAGCCAGCCATGCTGCTCGGCACCGCATGACTGCGTTTATGCCAAAATGGGGCTATATCTACTTTATTCAACGGCTCTAAAGTTTGTCACTCTCGTAACCCTTTCCGAAACAGAAAGACGGCGACGAGTAGTGCAATGGGTGATTTCCATAAAACATGTTGTGTGAAGGAGCTTATCAGTTTGGGAAAGTTTAAGGCCTGTTGACCGAGTTAATGCCACATCACCTTCCCCCCTCGCTCACGCTAATCAACGGATCGATGGAAGTGAGCAACACGCAGTGAGGCGTTTTTAACTGATTAAAGTCTTCTTTAGTACGCACGTGTATTCAGACGGGCACTTCCTAATAAAAGGAGAAAGACTTTACTCCTACTTAGTGTTTGACAAGATGTCGAAATTTTATGGTGGTTCACTGCTTTTTGGTAATGCCCATTGACGTGTGACGTGGTATTTGATTCCAGTGATTAGCATAATTTTATGACACACTTTGCACGCGCGGTGAATATATTTTCTTTGCTTGAGGATATCGCTAAACAAACGATAACATCATCCTTGATCTTTCTGCGAAAGTCGTTCATTCTCCGCTTTCGGCGATCTACGAGTTTTTCAATAACGGTCATAACCATGACAAAAGAGGACATTCACTCTTTTTCCGGTATCTATCGCGCCATATTGGTGACGTTATAGTCTTGCAAGCATTTTGATGATTTCTCTTTAAGCTCAGTGAGATATTCTTCTAGAGGTATTGCGCATACCTCGGATTGCCCGGTCTTCAATCACGGTAGCATAACCCCTACCGCGAATTTACTGCTCCGATCAATGCTGTCCCGTCATGATCGTTCTACTATGACAAGAAAAACCGTTCCGGATAACTTCAACGCCTGATTCTTCTACTTGTGCCTACCCGTCACCTGTCTCCACCGGCTCTGACGCAGGTGGCCATCATATAGTATCTCCTTGCTCATATTACCAGGTTTGGCATAGAAGACACCACTTTAATGCGGTTACAGGAAACCCAACAAAATACACGTGACATCCCTGTATTTTGTCACAGCAGTGATATTCTGTAATGACCGCGACACAAGATCGCTGTTGTTTGGCTCATCTTGAGACCGTGGCTTATTGCCGCCTCCACCTTACGCGTTTTTCTCACAACTCTCAGCCATATTGGTCATCCTTAATTTAGGCAATCGTTTGCCTGCACTATAGCTGTAACGAATTACATGTACCTGGTATGAAGCAAGGGGGCCCACCTCTGGGCTGGAAAAGATGTTCAGAGACGTGCGCATATCGAGAAATTATTGGTGTTTGTTATCACGTTTTGATCCTTCTCTTACCACGTTTGACCCATATGGTCTGACTTTACAATGGGGTGGAATACAAAAGACAGTGTAATCACACAACATTGTGGCTACAACTTAACATGAAGTCACAACGTAGCTGGACTGCCAGTAGTTATGCACTTTAATTACGTTTACATTCCAAATGAAAGAGTTTATTTGCCTTAGGCTAAGGTTGTTGTTACTCTTAAAGTAGGCGAATTGCGATCCGCTACACTCGTACAGGCTCAAAGTATAGAACGATGGTCTTCAGTCTCAGCTTAGCTTCCCAAAAAAAAAGCTACGTCAGCTCCGCTGCACTTCGTGGCACTTGTAGTCAATCTACACCCCAGGCGTTACGACTGATCCTCTGTGAGGATGGAGCAGTTCTCAAATGTGCCCCAGGGCATGCAGGCAGGCTTAAAAGGGTGATGTCTCTGCAAGGCCCTGAGGGCGTGCAACACATAGCTTCACAAGGGCCTGAAACAATCAGCGCGCGCCTAGTGGCGTTTCGATCATAAAAATTCTCTACAAGAGCACTTAAGGCAGATGATGTAGGTGTCGACTGCGTCCATGACGCCACCGTCGACGACGGATGACTACCCGATCCAGGCCGCCCATGGTGAGCTTTAAGACCTTCGAGGGCAAGAACGGAGTGAATCTCCTGCTGTGGGTGAGAGAGACCGAGATGGCTATGATGTTCACCATTCTCCGGACTGTGCAACAGGGCGTAGCACTAGCTATCTCCAAGCTCGGTGACCGAGCACGAGATGGGCACTGATGTCTGTACTTCAATTAAAGCCGCGTTTCCCTTCTGGGCGGAGCTGAAGCTGCATCTTTCACGTGTGTTCTCGCCGATTAGCCAGGCATATCGCGCGCGATCGAGTTTTTTTGCAACCAGACAGGGAAGAAGGAATT